TGGTGGTGGTGATGGTGGTGGTCGTGTTGGTGGTGGTGATGATGGTGATGGTGATGGTGGTGGTGATGGTGGTGGTCGTGTTGGTGGTGGTGGTGATGGTGGTGGAGGTGTTGGTGGTGGTTGTGTTGGTGGTGGTGATGGTGGTGGTCATGTTGGTGGTGGTGATGATGGTGGTGATGATGGTGGTGGCGGGGGTCGTGTTGGTGGTGATGGGGGGTCAGTGGTGAAGGCGTCACTGACACGGGTGATATTGGTCACCAAGAGCACCCATCGAGAGGCGCGTGCGGGCTGCAGCTCGGCCGCAGAGCGCCTGCCCAGCCCGCACCACGTCCTGGGTTTGATCACCAGGACCAACAAAGAAAAGACTAGATGGTGGAAGGCGGGCGCCCCGCTGTCCTTGAACCCTGCCCCCTTGCCCCACAGCCCCGCTGCAGGCTCTCTACCTGGAGGTGGTCCCCGTCACCGGTGTCAACCAGGAGGTGAACCTCACGGCCGTGCTGCTGCCCCCGAACCCCAACCTCACCGTCTTCTACTGGTGGATCGCCCAGAGCCTGCAGGTGCGCCCCGCCGCCGCCTCCCACTCCATCCGGGCGCCGTCCCACGGAGCCCTCGGCGGGCGGCACCGTCCCCGCCGCTCCGCAGTCACCGCGAGGGGCTGGGCCGGCTTCCCTGGGCATCCGTTCGGGGTCCACGTGTTCTGCGGGCACAGGGTAGATCAGACGGGTCCCTGCCTCCCGGGGAAAAGAGGTAGAACAAGGTGGCCGGCCTGAGCGGAGCGTGACCAGGGCCACGAAGGTTGGCAAGGTACCTGGGGCGCCGGGGAGGGGACTGGGGAGGAGGCCGGGGAAGGGTCTATGGGGAGCAGTCATGCGGGGCACCCCAAGGGAGGAGCTGACAGAGACCCTGGGGGCCTCACTGAGAGGCCTGGCCTGTGCTGTGTAAACAGCCAGACAGTGAGAAAGGGAAGGGGGGGAGAGAGAGGGACAGGGAGAGGGAGAGAGAGAGAAGGAGAGGAAGAGAGAGAGAGAGGCAGAGGGAGGGAGGGAGGGGGAGAGACAGCGCCTGGCGAGAGGACAAGGCCGACTGTCCTCAGGTTGGGCCTCAAGACCCAGAGCAAGGATGCCTGCCTGCCCTCCCTCCCTCCCTCCTTCCCTCCCTCCCTCTTTCCTTCCCTCCTTCCCTTGTTCCCTCCTTCTCTCCCTCCCTTTCCTTCCTTCCTTCCTTTTCTCTTTCCTTCCCCCCTCCCTGCTTCCTCCCTCCCTCCCTCCCCCTCCTCTGAATCAGGTGCTCTTGAGCAGCCTCCCTGCAGCCGGCTGTCTGGCGGGCGCAGGGCTGGGCACTGCCCCTGGTGGCCACGGCAGCCCCTGCCAGCCCTGCGCCCCCTGTGCCCGCAGCCGGCTGTCTGGCGGGCACAGGGCTGGGCACTGCCCCTGGTGGCCACGGCAGCCCCTGCCAGCCCTGCGCCCCCTGTGCCCGCAGCCCCTGATCTCCCTGGAGAACCGGGTGGCCACGCGCTTCGCGGAGGCGGGGGAGGTGCGTGTGACGGTGCAGGCCGCGTGCGGGAGCTCCGTGCTGCAGGACTCCAGGGTCGTCCGTGTGCTGGGTGAGTGCCCGGCCTGGTGCCCGCACCGCGTCGGTCCTGCAGAGCCGTGGCTGCTGTGGCCACGCCCGCATACCCGGTCACACTGCGCAGTTCATGCACATGGTCCCTTGGGTCCTCCCCCTTCACAGGCGGGGCACAGAGGCTCAGAGGCCAGCGGGGGGTCATGGTCAGCTCTGGGGCTCCTGTTGCCTCAACCTGAGAGCTCTGAGTCATGGACTCTTAAGGTGGGGGCCGGTCCAGCTGCAGCCCACGAAGCAGAAGGAACGAGGCCAGCAGGTGGCGTCTACACCCTGTGGGCTGCGTCTGCGCCCCCTAGACCAGGCTCCCCCGCCCCCACCCCACTGTCGGGTCATGGTAACGGCCTCTGGGGGTGAGCAGCCCAGCCGGCCGGCCGTGCCTGGGGAGGACGCATCATCTCCAAACGCTGAGCCGGCCCTGCCGCCCCGAGCTGCCGCAGAGGGCCGCGGAGGCCTGCACCCAGGCCCATCCTGGCGGGGCCAGAGCCTCGGGCCAGGACTGACCGGAGCCCACCCCTGCCTCTTTCCAGATCAGTTCCAGGTGGTGTCCCTGCAGTTCTCCCAGGACCTGGACAGCTACAACCCCAACACCCCGGAGTGGCGGGAGGACGTGGGCCTGGTGGTCACCCGGATGCTCTCCAAGGTATCCGTCTCCCCGGGGCCCGCCGCCGGGGCGTCCGTGGCACCGAGCCCGGAGCGTCGCCTCTAAAGGAAGACAGCCCATCCAGAGCACCGGCTGTTCACGCCGCCGCGGTCCTCCACAGTCCGACATGCCCTTACAGCCGTCTCAACCTACCGACTAAACCTCCCCTGAGCCAGAGCCCGGAGACAGGGAAGGTCGGAGTAGAGCACACCGAGTCGCTCAGGAGCCTCACAGCCAACAGACGGGGGCAGGGCAGTGGGGTGGAGAGGGGTCAGTCCTCCCGGTCCCCCGAGGGTGTGTAGGCTGAGCCCCACCCCGACCATGGTTCTCATCCTGTGAATGATGCTGGTGCAGTTGTTCTGGGCATAGGAGGCGCAGTAGGAGCTCAGCACGGGCAGCGTATGGAGGGGTGGGGCGGGAGGGGCAGGTCTGGAGAGGGAGGCCTGTGGAGGCCACGCCTGGGCTCGGGGGCCGCGTGTGGCGTGTATGGGATGAGGGCAGATGAGCGGGACTTAGGAACCCATGTTCGAGGGCCCGGGACAGGGGATGCCGTGAGGACACGCGTGCACGTGTCCCTCTGTCCCCGCAGGAGACCAGCATCCCCGAGGAGCTGCTGCTGACCGTGGTGAAGCCCGGGCTGCCCACCCTGGCCGACCTGTACGTGCTGCTGCCCCCACCCCGGCCCACAAGGAAGAGGAGCCTCTCCAGTGACAAGGCAAATCCCACGGCCCGGGGCACGCAGGTCCCTCTCCGCCCGGCATGGGCTCACACCCACAAACAAGGACACTGACACACCCCGTGGAGGCTCCTGTCCACCCCGCTGTGGTCTGATGGGGGGGTTGGGGAGGGGGAGGAGAGGTTGTGGGATCGTCTCCTACACCATTGGCTGGGGATGGTCACATGGCCTCCACTAAAACCACAAGGAATGCTGGGAAGCCCAGGTGAGTATGGCAGGGAAGACTGGAGCCAAGAGCTCAGCCTCGGCCAGCATCCACACCACGGCATCCACACCGCGGCATCCACACCGCGGCATCCACATCGCGGCATCCACACCGCAGTATCCACACCGCGGCATCCACACCAGCCAGCATCCACATCGCAGCATCCACACCGCAGTATCCACACCGCAGTATCCACACCGCAGGATCCACACCGCAGCATCCACACCGCAGCATCCACACCAGCCAGCATCCACACCGCAGTATCCACACCAGCCAGCATCCACACCGCAGCATCCACACCGCGGCATCCACACCAGCCAGGATCCACACCAGCCAGCATCCACACCGCAGCATCCACACCACAGTATCCACACCAGCCAGGATCCACACCGCAGCATCCACACCGCGGCATCCACACCGGCCAGCATCCACACCGCAGTATCCACACCAGCCAGGATCCACACCAGCCAGGATCCACACCGCAGCATCCACACCGCGGCATCCACACCGCGGCATCCACACCAGCCAGGATCCACACCGCAGCATCCACACCGCAGCATCCACACCACGGCATCCACACCGCGGCATCCACACCGCGGCATCCACACTGCAGTATCCACACCGCGGCATCCACACCGCAGGATCCACACCAGCCAGCATCCACACCGCGGCATCCACACTGCAGTATCCACACCGCGGCATCCACACCACAGTATCCACACCAGCCAGGATCCACACCGCGGCATCCACACCGCGGCATCCACACCGGCCAGCATCCACACCGTGGCATCCACACCGCGGCATCCACACCGCGGCATCCACACCGGCCAGCATCCACACCGCAGCATCCACACCGCGGCATCCACACCGGCCAGCATCCACACCGCGGCATCCACACCAGCCAGCATCCACACCGCAGCATCCACACTGCAGTATCCACACCGCGGCATCCACACCGCAGCATCCACACCAGCCAGGATCCACACCGCAGCATCCACACCGTGGCATCCACACCGGCCAGCATCCACACTGCGGCAGCACTGAGGGCCCGAGCCCCAGCAGGGTGGCCAAAGTCAAAAGGCAGCAGATCCAAACACTGCCAAGATCCTGACATGCCCTGGGGAGGACACAGTCCAGCAGCGCCCTGGCCAGTCAGCCGCACAGCTCCTGACAGCCGCACAGCTCCTGACAGCCGCACAGCTCCTGACAGCCGCCAAGGAGAGAGACGCTGCCGCCGCGCACACACCACCGAGTGCCCACACCGCAAACAACGGCATACCGGGACCCCAGGACACGGGACATGGGAACCCAGCACATGGACACGGGAACCCAGCACACGGGACACAGGGACCCCGGCACACGGGGATCCCAGCACACGGGGACCCCGGCATACAGGACACAGGACCCTGGCACACGGGGACCCCGGCACACAGGACACGGACCCCGGCACACGGGGATCCCAGCACACGGGACACAGGACTCTGGCACATGGTGACCCCAGCATACAGGACAAAGGACCCCGGCACATGGTGACCCCAGCATACAGGACACAGGACCCTGGCACACGGGGACCCCGGCATACAGGACACAGGACCCTGGCACATGGGGACCCCGGCACACAGGACACGGACCCCGGCACACGGGGATCCCAGCACACGGGACACAGGACCCCAGCACACGGGACATGGGACACCAGCACATGGCACACGGGGACCCAGCACACGGGACACAGGACCCTGGCACACGGGGACCCCAGCATACAGGACAAAGGACCCCGGCACACGGGAACCCAGCACACGGGACACAGGACCCTGGCACATGGTGACCCCTGCATACAGGACACAGGACCCCGGCACACAGGGACCCCGGCACACAGGACACGGACCCCAGCACTCGGGGACCCCGGCACACGGGACCCCGGCACACAGGACCCCGGCACACAGGGATCCCGGCACTGGCACATGGTGACCCCTGCATACAGGACACAGGACCCCGGCACACAGGGACCCCGGCACACAGGACACGGACCCCAGCACTCGGGGACCCCGGCACACGGGACCCCGGCACACAGGACCCCGGCACACAGGGACCCCGGCACATGGTGACCCCAGCATACAGGACACAGGACCCCGGCACACAGGACCCCGGCACACAGGGATCCCGGCACATGGTGACCCCAGCATACAGGACACAGGACCCCGGCACACGGGACCCCAGCACACAGGGATCCCGGCACATGGTGACCCCAGCATACAGGACACAGGACCCCGGCACACGGGGACCCCGGCACACAGGACACGGACCCCAGCACTCGGGGACCCCGGCACACGGGACCCCGGCACACAGGACCCCGGCACACAGGGATCCCGGCACACAGGGATCCCGGCACACAGAGATCCCGGCACACAGGACCCCGGCACACGGGGACACTCGCAGTTCCATCAAGCCAAGAAGCTGCGCAGCCAGGCTCCGACAAGGGGAGAGGGTCGGCGGCCCCACATCCAACTCAGCCACGTCAGAGGCCAGGACCCCAGCTCGAAGGCAGCCCACGAAATAACCCAACTGGAAAGCAGGCGGCGGCCCAAGTGGAGACGCGCAGCCCGTCCCCCGAAACCCCTCGCCACGGGAGCCACACGCCATGCAGCCTCCAGCCAGCGGCTTCCCCTGCAGGATGACGGAGCGGGCGGGGCGTGAAGATGTACACGCACACGCACGCACACACGCGCACCCCCCACATGCTCACACACACGCACACATGCGCGCACCCCCCACGCGCACACACACATGCACGCACACACACCGGGGCCAGCCATGTCCTGCCCGTCCTCACGGTGACAGGCAGCTTCCCTGCCCATTCACGAGGACACCGAGGCTGGGAAGGCCGTGGCCCTCTCCAGCCCTTGACCTCTGCAGGGGTCAGGGCCCTGACCCTCCCTTCTGGCCTGAGCACCCCTCCCTCGTGGCCTGAGTGATCATCCCTCCCTCCTGGCCTGATTGCCCCCCTCCCGGCCTGAGCACCCCTCCCTTCCCCTTTCAGAGAGTCGCAGCCATCCAGCAGGTGCTCAGTGCTCACAAGATCAGCTTCCCCGTGCGAGGCGGGCTGCGGGTCCTGGTGGCCCTGCGGGAGACAGACTCAGGTGAGAAGCCTGGCTGGGCCTGGGGGGGGCAGACTCAGGTGGGAGGCCTGGCTGGGCCTGGGGGCAGGCTGGGCAGGCACCCAGGCCCTGAGGCCCCATGGGTGGCCCTCCGTCACCCGCCGGGCGACCCTCCGGTGGGCAGTCTCCAATTAGACGCATGGCTTTCTGGCCAGACCCGCGGGGCTTGACGTCCCCTCCAGATGACCCCTGCTGCTGGTCCCCATGGCCACTTCCCTATAGTGCCCACGTCCACAGGGAGCCCAGGCAGCTCACCCCGGGCATGCGCACGAAGGGGGGGAGAGCCGGGCGCTCTGCAGGAGTAGGCTCCGCCCATGCTCCCAGCAGGTCAGCAGCTGCAGGCCCCGCCCGAGAGGAGCATCCTGGTGCCTCCCAGGCCGCGAGGGTGCATTTCCCCACCCGCGCGGGGACAGGCTAGATGACACGCAGCAGCCTCTCCAAGCTGGGACCCCTGCTGCAGCTGCCCTGCTCTGTCCCTGACTGCCCCTCACTGCCCCTCACTGTCCCCACTGTCCCTCACTGTCCCCACTGTCCCTGACTGCCCCTCACTGTCCCTGACTGCCCCTCACTGTCCCTGACTGCCCCTCACTGTCCTCACTGCCCCTCACTGTCCTCACTGACCAGCCCTGCCATGGCTGTCTCCTCCTGTGCTCCCTGCAGGTTCCCAGCGGCTGGGCGGCGGCGGCTACTGGGCGGCGGCGGTGCTCTTCGTGGTCGGGCTGCTGGCGGTGGTGGTGTTCATCCTCTACAAATTCAAAAGGCAAGGCCGCCTCCCCGTCTCTGTGCGGCCTGGACGCGGGGCAGGCAGAGGCCGCACTCCTGGCGGGGTTGCGGGGGGGGGGGAGGACACAGCGCTGGTTCCCTTGCTGGCACTGTCACCCGGGGTCCCCAGGGACAGACGGTCACCACCCTCCACATGGCAGCCCCTCCTGTGCGGGCCTTGGGGAGCTGCGGGCGAGGGAGGTCCAGCCAGCGAGGCTGGGTGCGGGCGCAGGCCCGGCGAGCGGGGGCAGCACCGCTTCCCGGCTCTCCTGTGCCAGCCTCTCCGGCCAGGCGCCACACGGGGCCCCAGGTGCTCAGATGGGGGTGCTGAGGTGAGGCCAGGGGCCTGGGCATGCAGACCCCGAGCCAGCACCCATGGTGGCCGCCCTGGCCGTCCCTGGAATCTGAGGAATGAGCAGAATGATGCATGGAGACCGACCGTGCTGGTCCCCAAGGACCACTGAGGGCCCCATTCACCACAGCAGGGGCCGCCTCCTCCACCCTCCCCAGGGCCCAGGCACTGGGCGCCCCCTGGGGACCCCTATTTGCTGGCCTCGATGCACGTGTCCTTGTAGAGGGTAATGGACACCCCTCCCTGCTGGCCCCCTCGGCCCATGGCTGGGCACAGGCAGGTGCTGCTCTGGCCGGGCGCGTCCACACTTGTCCCCCTTGTTACCTGGATGGGGGGGGCAGGGGGCAGGGGGCAAAGGAGGGGTCTGAGAAAGAATAGCAGAGCCTCAGCTAACCTGGCGCCCCCCCGGAGGAGGGGACCTCAGGGGACAGCCTGAGTTTTCCGGGTGGCAGATTGGGGGCCCGGGGCAGGCCATGGCCTTTCCCGCTTTCCAATCCCTGAGGCACGAGCTCCCCGGCTGCCCGGGCCTCAGACGCCGTGACCAGGTCTCACCCATTCCTCTGCCAGGTGCCCAGGCAGGAAATCCGCTCGTCCCCCACCTGACCGCTGTGGCCCCTAGGAAGTGGGGTCCTAGTGCCCAGCTCCCAACCCCCTGTCACTGCTGGAAAGCAGGGGCCCCGTGCCTGACCCTCAGCTCCCGTGCCAGCACGGGGCAGCTGAGGCTGAGTGCGGGCCAGGGCTGGCCGGGTCCTCTTGGCACAGGGCTGGACCTTGGGTGTGGGTCACTCTCCCCTCCGGCCTGGGTACTGGAAGACAAAGTGGAGCAGCCATACCAGCTCTGCAGAGCCCAGAGAGGGCACCCATGGTGTGCTGGCCAAGGGGCGTGTGGGCACCAGGCTCTGGGGCTGGCCCTCTGCGGGCTGGGTGCTAGTACCTTCTGCAAGAGCTGGGAGCCGCCTCTGCCCTGCAGGAAACGCCCGGGCAGAACCGTGTACGCCCAGATGCACAACGAGAAGGAGCAGGAGATGACCAGTCCCGTGAGCCACAGTGAGGACACGCAGGGGACCGTCCAGGGTAGGCGCTGGGACGCGTGGCCTGCTCAGGCTCCGCAGGGCACCCCCCCACTCCCTGGGGTTCCAGGGCCACAGGACCCGGCCCGCCCTGCTGTGGGACCCCCGTGTCTGCCTGGAGCAGGGAGGCTGGGGCCTCTATGGAATCAGTGCCCGGGGACTTGCCAGACCAGGCAGCCCCAGAGTGGGGATGAAGACCACTGCCAGCAAAAATACTGCTCCCCGAGTACCTCGCACACAGCCCGCAGCGCTGTGCGCCGCACAGCCTCTGCACCCCGCCCTGCTCACGGAGACGGGTGGGCAGCCCCGGGCCCCAGGCCCTCGTCTCGGGCTGACGGCCACGCCCCCTCTCTCTGGCTCCGCCCCGGTCCTCACCATGCCAGACCCCCCAGCAGCAGGTGCTGCCAGGAGGGGGCGGGGCGTCAGCCCCTCCCGCGTCCCCCTGCTGCGGATGCCTTCGGGCTCCCGTTCAGGTCAGTGTGGCCTTACCTCCGTGCCCGGGCCACTGCTCCCCAGCACTGCACGCCCCCCCACGGTCACCACGGAGGACGCACCCCGCACAGCCGATGCCACCGCGGGTGTCCACGACTCACCGCTTCCGCGCGCGTCCCCCCACGGCCTGCCTCGCGCCGTCCCCACCTGGCAGACGGTGCTCACAGCCACGCGTCTTCTGTTGCCTAGGCAACCACTCGGGCGTGGTCCTGAGCATCAACTCTCGGGAGATGCACAGCTACCTGGTCAGCTGATGCCCGGACCACCGTCTCCCCGCGGAGGACGAAGGAGCCCAGGTGCGGCTGGGAGGCCCCGCCGAGCCCTCGGGAAGGCCGCCTCCTCCCGCCGTGCCCGCCCAGGGAGCAGACACTCCCCAGCCGCTCCTGACCGCCCACCCGGACCAGGCCCATGGTGCCGCCGATGTCCCGTCCCTGCCTCTGGCCCTGGACCCCGCTCACGCTGCCCTGCTGCCCAGCTGAGGCCTGACTTCTCCCAGCAGAGGCCACTCTGTCCGGAGCGTGGGGTGAGGCTGCCGGGCTGGCCGGGCCCTAGGTCTGCAGCCTCTGCCCTGAGGCTCCTGAGGCTGGGGGCTTCCCAGAGTCCCGTAAGCCAGACCCACCCAACACCACCCTCCGGTGCCCTCCAGTGCTCCTCTTCCTGTTAAACTGCAGATCCTGTAAATACCTCTCCAGGTAGCCCGTTGCATTCGGGGCACGTTTAACTGTTACTGTACCACCGGAGCTCCTCTAGTTTTCCCCAGGTGGTGTGGTGGGCAAAGGAGCCCTGTTCCTGCAGTTCCGCAGGCTGCCAGTAGGAGGTGCCCTCAGCCCCTCCAGGACGGCTCCCAGCCTGACAGGCTCTGGAAGGTTTCCTGCCAGCTTTGGGACCCGCGTAGAGCGGAGCCAGGGACGCATGGATGGGCAGAGCTGTGCGGCTCCTCACGGTGAACCCGGGCACTTGGAGAGGGGAGTCACAGCAAGAGCACAGCGAGGTAGCCTGGGGGCCCGGCTCGGCTGCCTGGGGCCAGGGACCGAGTGCAGCACTGCACAGAGACAGCAGGACACTTCACCTTTTGCCTTGAATCATGAAGTCAGTTCCCTCCCCGCCATCCCCTCCTCTCCATCCTCCCAGGCCTCCACCGGGCCAGCCTCCACCCTGCCAGCTCCAGGGTCATGCCCCTGTTCTTCCTATTGTTGGGGAGGTCCAGGGGTGAACCCCCGCCCCAGAGCATCGCTGGAGCGCTTGGCCTTGGTCGAGTGGCTGCTCCTGGCATGGAGGTACTCGTCACAGTGAACCTGTGATGGACGGAAACTAGGCGCACAGCCAGGCAGGGCGCCCCAGGCGCTCCCCCTGCCCACCCAGAACGGCCCGAGGCTCCTGGGCCCCCAGACTGGCCTTGGCGAGGGGCTGGGTTAAAAGGGCCCAATGCCAGGAAGGGCCTTGGCGCCAGCGCCAGCCGCCGGCCGCCCCCTCCTGCCCCAGGCCCAGACCCGCTCTGGAGATGCGCACGGAGCCGTCGGCGCCCAGGTCCCAGGCCGCACGGGAGCCTCGGGGGGTCGCTGGTGACCACTCCACTAGTTCTCAAAGCTGTTCCATCAGGGCTTCCCCTCGCTACGTGTGCGTTTCCCCTTGTATTTTATGTTACTATTTCTTTCAAAAAACCAACCCACCCATCTGGGCGTGTGGGTACAGAGCCTGGGCACAGCGTGGCGTCCAGCAGCGTCGCTTCCCCAGTGAGTGGGGTCCAGCCAGGACCCGCCCCGCGCCACCTGCACCCCGCGCAGGTGCCCACGCCCCCCGGGGACCAGACTCCGCACGCTGGGCACCTCCAGCCATGTGCACATAACAACCAACGCGTTCTTCCTCGTTTTTCCTTTTTAAAAACCAATAAATCATTTGTGATGCTTTTAACAAAGGTTCAATGGACGTGACCCACTTGGCCTTATTTTGAAGACGGTGTGTTTTGACGTGGAAGTCTGGGTGAGCGGACGCAGCCGTGGGGGGGGGGGGAGGCTAAGGCGGACAGCAAAGGCACAGGCTTGTCACCAGATTCGGGTCACTGCGACCAGGGGCAGAAAGTTACTTGGCCTCCCAGAGGAAGGGCTTGTCAGCCAAGGCAGAGTGAATTCTCCAGATGGGAGGGAGGGCTGGGGGTGGCAGGACCTGGGCTTCTGTGGGGGCTGCAGATGTGGCTGTGGTCATGGGATGCACAACACGGGCCCTGGGAAACTGGTTATTGAGGTTTATGGAGAAAGTTCCAGGTTATGTGGTCAGCTCCTTCCGTTTGTCTGGTGAGACCAGAGCCGCCATTCCCTTAGGTGGGGGCTGGGCACCAGCAGGCCAGGGTGTGAGACACCTGATCGACATCCATCCCAGTCAGTTCATCTTGGCCGTCCATTCCCAATCCCCGCCTCACAGCTCCCCCAGCCCAGCTGTGACCGCAGGCCGGTTGAGCCACCGGTATTTGAAGTGTGGGGGGGGGGGAGGGAAGGAGGGAAGACAGAGAGGGAGGGAGAGGGAGAGGAGGAGGGGAGACAGGTGTAAGCCTGTCTCATGAAGCCGGGCATGGCCCCCGCTGTTAATCCCAGCTACTCAGGAAACTGAGGCCAAGAGGGTCACAGATCACAGCTGGGCCTGGTTGAGAACTCCCAGAGACTCTTGATTTACCAACAGGAGGTGTGGCCAGCCCAGCGTACCCCACGCGGGGAGGGGCTTCACGGCTGCTCTCTGGCCTCTGCCACATTCCATTCCGCACACCAGGCCCCTTGAGCGCACAAACTTGCCCACGAAATCATCTCAGTGCGTTCTGGCGAGCGGACAGACCCTGTGTCCCTGAACGCACGAGCTCCTGTCTGAAGACCGCCCGTGGCCACGCAGAACTCCAAGATCTAGTCGGGCCTCGGCATGAATGGAGCAGGCTGTGAGCGCAGGGGTGCAGCACTGCACACACCCGCGGGGGTTTCCTCCAAGCCCATGCACGCACGCGTGGACCAGTCCGTGCTGGCCAGGCGAGGATGGCCACGGCCGTGCGCCACGCCGCTGTGGCCCGCGAGTCTCCTCCCGGCTGTGGGCAGAGGCGCCGCCTCCTCCTGACTGCCCCCCCCCCACCGGCCGCACTGCTCACAGCCACGTGGCCCCCAGGGCCCCCATTTTCCTCTCCGGCCACACAACCAAGGGCCACCTGCTTACCCAGCCGTGCTGTGGGCTCCAGCTGGGGTCGCCGCGGGCTTGGCTCCAGCCCGGTCCTCCGGGAGCCGAGCACGGGGAGCAGGGGGCACAAGGAGGCAGACAGAGGGTGGGGGGTAGGTAGGTGGGCGCGGGGGGAGCTGCCTGGAGCCGGGGCAGTATGCGTCACTCGGGAGGCGGCAGCCCTGAGGGGAGGCAGGCGGCCCGTGGGTGTTAGGATGGCCGCTAGGAGGAGGGAGGCAGCCAGCTCCACTCTGCTGGGTGCTTCTGGACAGGGAAGGTGGCACCTGTCACCATGGCGTCCAAGGCCAGGTTCACCCCCCCCCACCGCCTCACCACCCCTCTCCTCACAGAGCCCCCACCCCTGCTGCCTGTGAGCAACCCCGCCTACAATCCTGGAAGTCTTTCCTAACTGCACACAAGAAGCGCATCAGGGTTTTGAGTGTCTTGCTGGGCGGACTTCCTCCTAGCCAAGTCAGGTCGGCCCAAATGCTTGGCACTGACCTGGCATTGGCTGTGTCTCTTGAGTATTCAGGTCTGGGAACCAAAAATACACTTAAAAACCAACTGCAAGCCTGGAACCGGCAGCTCACACCTGTAAGCCTACTCAGGAGGCTGAGCTCTGAGGATCTTGGATCAAAGCCAGCTGCAGCAGCAAAGTCAGGGAGACTTATCTACAATCACACACACACACACACACACACACACACACACACACACACACACACACACGCTGGAAGCAGAGCTGTGGCTCAAGCAGAAGAGCAAAAA